GGGAACATGTGGGCTGTTTCAGATCTGTTCAGCTGGGACCTGGACCTGGACTTGGACCTGGTCAGTGAGGAAGACCACAGACGTTTTGGATCAGTTGGATACCAGTGGGCTGGCCTGCAGGGACTAAAGGATCAGCTCCACCTTCTGAGACAGGTCCTTTCAGTTTTACTCTGAACTCTGACTGAAAAAGAGGAAAAAGCTGTTGGTACTTACAGGGGTGAAGGGTCCAGWTGGAGGTCCTGGCTTGAGAAACTGCAGAGTAGAAGATCAGATCAGGTCTGTTTGCTTTGTTGGAGGTGAAACCTGAAGCCCAGATCTGGATCTTTGGCAGGACTGAGGTCTGCAGAAGTCCAGGACAGGACAGCCTGTCACCCGAGAACCCAAAGCAGAAAGCTCACTGCCTGACTAAAAATAGAAGTCAGGGTTCAGCCCACACCCCCTCCTCAGGTCTGGTTCTGGTGGTCCTGACCCTGACTGAAGGTCCTGCTACAAATGCTCCATGTAGCTCTAGCTGGGATCTGCTCCAAGAAAAGGTCAGAACAGTCAAACCAAAATGATTTCTGCCTCCTTTAGGGCCTGAAGACATGTCTGTCTTCATGATGAAGATCTGTAAAAACATGAGTGACGTCACGTGTCAACAGTCAGAATCCAGAATAAAGAACGAGCATCTCATGAACTAATGAATATCTTCTACTTCTTCTACTTCAAAGCAAAGTTTAAAAACAAACAGTGCCATGATGTGTTAGCCCTCAGAGTCTGTGCTGGGGATGACTGTCAGCTACCACAGCAGGTTTTAGTCTGACTGACTGATGATCATTGTAGTGTTGGCTAAAGTTCATTRGCTGTGGCAGCCATCTTTAATGTTTCTGAACTAAAATACCAATTCATGACATRTTTTGCTAACAGAAATATACAGGCAGCTACATGACCACCTCACGACGACATTAATGACAAAGTGAATGAAACTAAAAAACCTTTCTGACAACTGACCAGCAGAGGTCAGCAGAGGCCAGCAGAGGTCAGCAGAGGTCAGCAGAGGTCAGCAGAGGCCAGCAGAGGCCAGCAGAGGCCAGCAGAGGTCAGCAGAGGTCAGCAGAGGTCAGGAAACATCCATGAGAGGAAAAACATGAGTTTTAAAAGAACAAAAATATTAACCTTTTAAATCCAGTTTTATTAAAAGTTTCTAATCAAAAAACGACTGAACTGATAACATTTGATGAAACTAAAATGTTTTTCCCTCTCATTTAATCAGCTTTTTTATTATTAGTTTTTCTGTTGTTAAAACACGTTTCTTAAAATCATTTCTCTAAACTGTAAACACAAAACCCACTTTTCATTCAGCTTCTTCTTCCTGGTGTTTCAGTGTCTGATGATCTCTACATCCATCACTGCTGCCTTCTTCTGGTGTTTGCTGACCACCATGTCCAGTTGGTTAGTGTCACCTGTTTGGACCTGGACCAGGAGGTCCCACAGATCTCAGGTGGAGACTCTCTGACTGTGGGACCTCCAGGCTATATGT